CACACACACATATACTCTGCCACCTCTGACTTCAGATAAAGATCTCAAGCATAGTAAAGTTACATGACTTGCTTGAGATTGTACAGCCAACCTCTTAGCAAAGCTGGGCCTACCAACCAACTGTTCTTAACCTTTCTCTACACCTCACTAACTTTTATGGGTAAGAAGAGACAAAAATGCCAAGACATTCTCAACAAAATGAGGAACCAGGACAAAGAAGAGCTGCTAGACTTAAAATAGACCACTAAAACCATGAACTAAATACAGAACCCTAACCCTAGGACTTTTTCCAGACATTTTCTTTTCTCAGGATTTCCAACATCAAACTTTAGGTTCTCTGATAATGGCTGAATTATATATAGCTCCTTTTCTCTTACCCATGTATTTATTTTGGTAAAATCTATAAGGCCCATTCTATGTATGTATTGACTATAGCCATTCTAACTGTAGGTTATGGTTTCCCATTTCTGAAGCAGTTACAATTGAAGTGGACTGAGTACACAAAAAGAAACTGAAATATTCTGTGGAAATCTTTCAAAGAATAATTCCTGATTTAAAAAGTTCTGGGACGCCTGGGTGGCTCAGTTGGTTAAGCGTCCGACTTTGGCTCAGATCGTGATCTTGCGGTTCATGGTTTCGAGCCTCGTGTCGGGCTCTGTGCTGACAGCTCAGAGTCTGGAGCCTGTTTCAGATTCTGTGTCTCCCTCTCTCTCTGCCCCTCCCTGGCTCATGCTGTCTCCCTCAAAAATGAATAAACATAAAAAAGATTTCTGATGGAACCCACTTGCCTTTTTATTTTCCAGAGCTCAAAAGAAAACAACTTCTGTTTCCTTGACAATAGGATCATCATCTCCAAAGACAGGAGTGACCACAGCTGTGATTCAGCCATTATCCATCCCTGTTCAACAGGTAAGTCCTCGTACCTGAAACCACAGGAGTCAAACTCATTAGCAAACTTTGTGAAGCAGACTTCATGATTACAGCTTCGATTCCAACTAGTACACTCCCTGCAATATTTTCCTAAGTGGGAGCACAACAGGGGGAGGAAAGAAAACGGTAGGTAAAGTTCTTCCTTTTAAGCACTAAAAATAATGTTTAATCAAAAACCTAGTACCAGTTAGTCAACATCTGCTTTCCCATTGGGAACATCTCTAACAGCCAATAACCTGATAATACGCTCTCTCTTTGAGCTATGACTATTTGATTATTCTTCCACAACTGTGCCCTCTTCCATTTAGCCAAATTTATTAGCTCATTTAAAATAGAAGCAAGAAAAGTTGACATACCAACAAAAGTTTTTCCAGGAGCTAAACATAATCATGCCATAATAATAATAATAACTATTATTATTATTATTATTATTATTATTATTATTATTGGCTTAACCAAGCATTTTTACCGTGCTTTTATTTCATTACAAGACTGCCATGTCCAAAAAAGAACAACAGTACAAACTACTGAGGTAATAGTGAGCTTACTTTGCAGATACAACAGGAATTAAAAAAAAAAAAATTAGAATCTTTAAATGTTTTAATTAGATGTATGTTACTTTGCCTTTGTGCTATGATGTGTATATTTAAAAACAATACTCACAAAAGCCTTCCCCGCCCCCACCCTTGAAGTGTAAACTAATTCCTAACTAATCACTATGTTCTGTGAGCATCATCACCAGGCCTTCTATCTATTGAGCACTCAGGTATTGTAGAGTAATACTCTGGGATCTGTGGTATGTAGAAACCATAGAGAAGAGACATTTGAAACTTGAAAAGAACCAGCCAGTATACCTTCACTTAAAGATGGTCTAAATATTTGTTTTAAATCCCTAAATCAGAGTGGAACCTATAGAAATATATCTGAT